CCACTTGAGAATGTTCGGGCCACATGTGGCACCGCCCAGAGTAGAAGCCCCTCAACAAGGATGTTCATTTGTAGTTAATTTCAGTTCATTGTCCTGGTACCTAAAACTGATTTGCTATGTTTGTGCTGCTTAGTTTTGAAGCTATTTTATACATACTTCAGCTCTAAAAATAAAGCAATAAGGGTGTCAAATGTTATTAAGAGAAAGCAAACATAAAACTATGATAAATAGTACATAAAAATATGAATAAACGCTTCATGTGTGTCCTTGATAAGATGATTTGACAACAGGAAGTATTCTGAAGGGCAAAGAGCAGCTCTCATCAAAGACTGACTGATAAAAGAGATTAACTTCCTAATATGGGAACCAGACATGGCAGGTAAGCCTAGATGTTCATCAGAATCCTCTGGGATTTAAGAGGCAACCCTGCCCTGAAATTTGGACTTAACTGGTACGGGCATCTATAGTTTCTCCAAACTTCCTGGAAGTTTTCACTTGTTATCAGTGTTCCAAGCACTTTGCTAGAGGATCAGCATCCACAGCAGATTCCTACTGGCCTAACGCAATGGTTTTCAAAGTGTAGTTCATGGAATCCTTTCATGGGTACACGAGGTCAAAACTAATCTTATCTTACTAGGAAAATATTTGCCTTTCTGCTATTATGCCATTTTCATTAATGACACAAAAGCAAAAGTCGCAACAGAATTACAATATTAACCTACCACCCCTACCCTCCCGCATACAAGCCTTGCTTGTCCTCTTACATTTCGCGTGGGCTTAAAGGTATTACTATATTGTAGTATTTGTCACAGGATTTGGTGACAAAGCTGTTATGTTTAAATCTTAGCTTTGCTATATATAAGCAGTGATCTTGGGCAAGACACTTAGCCCTATGCATCTATTCCTTATGTAAAACGTGGCCAGTGATGTAAATCTTTTAATAAAACCTTGTGTGTAATGTACCTGTCAGAGGAGGTGCTTACCCAAAAGTCAGTCCTCACTTAACGTTATCCTCAGGTTTGTGGAAACTGAGACTGTGCCAAACGATGGATAACGACACAATTTTACTGTAGATTAACTGATATAAGCAAGAGTTAAGTTCCTACAGTCTACTTCTTTTCACAAAAACATCACCAAACTTCTAAATGAAGCCCAAAACACTTCTAATATTAAACACTGAAATAAATGCGAGCTATGCATACATTTAAGAAAGACTAATAAAGACAAATAAGATAATTATTCACCTGCTTCTTCAGCTCAGGGTTTTGGGCAGCTGAAAACTGTCCCCACAGCCCAGGACCCATCCTGTGGAGGGCAATGCAGACATGCCCCCAACATGAGATGTGGGACAAGAGTACCCGGAGAAAGCCAGGCGGACGTGGGAAGAATGTGAAGCCTTAGTGGCCTTGTCTGGCTTGGGCGTCAAATTTCGTCCTTATAAATGTTGTAAGAGGACATACTGCATTTCTGTCCAATCCAGGTGATCATCTAGCTGGAGTTTTGCTTCCTCACCCCTCACTAAGTACCTGTAATATGATTCTCCTAGTCATCCCATCCTTTCAGCACGACTGCCACCATCAGAGTTGGGAAATGGTTTCTAAGCTGGTCTCCCAGATGCTAATCTTCTTCCATCTAACTTACCCTCTATGTTGTTACCACATGGTTTTCTAAATGTACACATTTCATTTCCCAGCTCCAAGGTCTTTATCAAGTAAGCATTTAAACACAAGCCTGGCACAAAGTTCTTTGCTATCTGGCCCTATCTCTCCAGCCTCAGGCTCACCATTCCACCCTACTTAGGTTCTTCTACTCTGGCCACGCTGAGGTTCTGAGCCAGTTTAGACCATGTTTCCCTTACTGCCATTCTCTTTATCTAAAAGACAGAGTGCTGCCCCAGCTCTACAGCTCTAGTTGGCTGCTCCTCCTCTAATACTCTAACATAGAGTCCACAGTGTTACCTCAATGAGGATGTCTCCCCAGCAGCTCCCAGACAGAATTACTCCTCCTTCTGGGTTTCATTATTTTCTACAAATCTTTGCTACAAGATGAGGGAATATATTTCATACCTATTCAAACACTCAGTTTAATTATAAAGTACAGGCAACAGTTCCTACTTTGCAGGGTTTACTTTGAGCAGTAAATAAGGATATCTGCAAATCACTTAACACACCAAGACAAAATGAAAATCAACTTCCTCACGGTTAACCAAGTAAAGGATGGGAACAGGGAATGATTCTAACCCAGTCTGGCTCAGTCTAAAGCGCATGCTCTTTCTGCTACATGTTGTCTTGCTATAGCATAGCCAACACTTAATGATCTCCCCCCACTGCACTGTGAAGTTCTCATAGACACTGAGCATGCTTGCATCCCCAGCCCTGTATTTGAATACTAACTCTATTGGCACTATGGACGAAGATATTAAAAGGCCGCGTCTCTAACTCCACCTAGATAAATATAGGCAACACCCTATTGCTGTTTTCTGTGCTAAGAGGGACACTGGAGGTACACACACGGACTAGGAATGCCAGCATAGATAGATACCCAAGGGGAATCTCGAAGGATGTTGTGTGACAGGGGAGGCATTCTGAAATTCTCTAAAAGTATTAAATTTGTAAATGATACAGGTACTGTTTATGCTGATAGTTGTAGGTTATTACTGGTGACAATCATTTGGTCCTTCAAATGTTTTCAAAAACGGATTCATTACGGTACAGTAATTGAGATTTATTAAGTCTTTACCATTGGGTTACTCCACAAAAGAAGTTTAGGTGCAAACTCAATGGTACCAAGACACTAAGCCACTTCTTAAACTGCTAATGTAGCCTGCTTGAAACCTCACTGAGTAGCTTTTCCAACTACAATGTACTTCTGACATCCCAAGCTTGTAGGACTAGAGTAGAAAGTTAACCACTGGCAGTTGTTTCTATTATCCACATAAGTCTGACTGACATACTTATATTTGAGGGCAAAAAAATCACTAAGACTTATCCTGAGCTATACTGTGTTCCTACTGACAGCGGCAAGAAGATTTCTGGCATCTGGTTCCAAGTTTGAGTCCTGGTGTCATGATCAACTAGGCATGCACTCACAGGCAAGTCAGTGTCTCCATGCCTTACATTCTTCATTGGTAAACATCTACTCGGTTGTTGTAGGCTTGGTATTTCAAGGATTATACACCAATTTTTTTGAATAGCCTCTAGTACATAGGAAGTGCTAGTAAATGAAAACTTTCATTACTTTTGGAAAAACAAGCATGGTAAGACAGCTTAAATACTGTTGACCTTAAACATAGTATGTACATCTTGCTTTTAGCAAGTCCATAACAGTAAGTCGCTAAAAAGAATTTATCTTTGACTTGTACTACAAGTAAAATAATTCAACTTTAGCTGCCAGAAAGATATTTAAGATTTCACAGTGACCGTATTCCTACTCTTCCTAAGTTGAAGAAGGAGCAAATTTTCTAAGCTAAATTAACAGTTATTAATGACACTCTGTTTTTTTTTTTTTTTTCTGAGTTGGAGTCTCACTCTGTCGCCCAGACTGGAGTGCAGTGGCCGCTCCCGGCCACCGCAGCCTCGACCTGATGGGCTCCGGCGATCCTTCTGCCTCAGCCTTCTGAGTAGCCGGAATTACAGGCATGCGCTACCACGCCTGGCTGATTTTTTGATTTATTGTAGAGATGAGGTCTCGCTGCCCAGGCAGGTCTTGAACCCGTGGGCTCAGGCAATCCACTCACCTCAGCCTCCCAAAGGTGTGGGATTACAGGCTGAGCCACCGAGCCTGACTACTAATGACACTCTTAAAAGCAACTGTCTCCTATTCTGTGGTACATGGGGGAAGAAACTGAAATAAAGAATAACATCATTAGCCAGGGAAAGAATATGTGCAAATAAATTATCATCTCCTCTATAAGATTGTGAACAAGTTCAGGGAAGAGACTGTGACTTATGCCCCAGCCCCAATCAAAGTAGCAGACACAGTCAGTTTTTGACATGTCTAGGGTTGAATGGGATTTTGCAGCAACTCCTGGGAACACAAGCTCAGTCGTTTTAAGCCACAGAGATCCTTAGCTCTTTGGGGATCATAGTTGCTTTTGAGACTACAAGAGGGATGCCTTCTTTCTCCAGAAAGACGCACATCATTATGGACTTCATTCATTCATTCACCCCGAGGCCCTGGAGTAGAGGTCACTGGCATTTACCATAACCGGGTAAAATGCCTCCAGACACAGATTCGGGATTTCAGTATTACCACCATGTGTTTACTTGGCCACACCGGCTTCACTCGTTTCTCAGCCTGGAAAGGTGGGCGCTTGCTTTAACTTTTGTGACTTATAGTTCAAGCTTTTCTGGGAGGCCTAAACTTTCAAATAAATCTGCAGATAAAACTTTTTTAAAACGGGAGACCAGAGGGGAGGCAGGTCAGAAGCCACAAGTCATTCCAGGAAGAACATTAAATTCCTGGGAGAGGAGCTGGGCTTTGCAGAGAAGTTCAGTCATGAAACCCTATAGTTTGTCAAAGAGCATCTTTAAGTCGAGATAAGGATGTGAGAGGAAACCAAAAGGCCATTGATGCAACAGGTGAAAATGAAGGTGTGAAGTTTGGTGCCAACCCCAACCCCCCAACATTAAATAATCACACCTGGGCCAAGCCCCTTGGGCAAGATAAGGAGACGTAAAAACAAGCGGAAACTGGAGAAACTTTAATCCCTCAAGGATCAAAAACCACAGATAACCTATGTAACCCTGAGTTTTCCTCTAAACAAAGCCGAAAAGCGGTCCCGCGGGAGGGCAGGGATCTCCCTGGACCTTCGGCCCAGAGTCTCCCCTACTGGGCGTGTGGAACCACATGGCCCCATGTCCCCCAGGCACCATGTCGCCCTTGCTCCAGGCCCTGGACGAAGGGCTCCTCGGCCCGCTCCGCCGCACTATCCCCTAGCCCGTGCCCGAACCCACAACCCCACCGCGAAACTCCGCGGGGCCCAGCAACCCTGTCCTTACCATAGTGAGGCCGGCGCTGCCCCAGCCACATCACCCTTCCGGACCCAGGCGGAAGAGGCGTGTCCTCCCGCCTGCCCTTCACGCCCTCTTCCGCCGTCCGGTTGGCTCATCACGGGGCCTCTGCCCGAGGCGCACGCCTCGGACGCTGGCCTCGATAGGAAGAGGCGGGACTTGAAGGACGTCCTGCAGGCCGGCGGAAGTAGGTGACACGCTCATTGGCTGCGGGACATTGTGGGAAGGCGGGCATTGCGGAGAAGACCGGAAGTGGAGTCTTGAAGAGGTAGGATCCGGAAGTGCGGCTGCCTCCCTAAGTAGTAGTAGTTTGCTGTTCTGTGCTTTCTATTTTTTCTTTCTTTTCTTTTATTTTTTTGTGAGTTCTTTGTTATTTAGCCTTGGATCCCCACAGTGCGCGAACCCCTTTTGTGTTGGGTTCCTGCGACCTGGGCCTTGACGTCCTCCGCGGGGTGAGCATCCGTGGAGCATTGTCCGGGGTCTCCCCTTTGCACTTCAGGGTGCGTGGTCACGCGGGACGCTGCTGAAATGCACCGGTCGGTGTTGAGGCTGAGGGGATGTGGAGCCTGAGGGGTGTAGCGCGGGCTGGCTGGTTCCGACCCGGTTCTCGCAGTCCCTGCTCTCGTGACCTAGGTGAGCGTCAGAGCTAGTTTAACTCAGAGCTGATTTAACTCAGAGCTAATTTTACTCGTTTACTGCCTCATATCCCTCACCGTTCCAAGGTCTTCCTGCAGCTCTTGAGGTGAATTCTCATCCCACACCGTTTTGGATCAACTAGCAAGACAGAAGTACACAAATTGGCGCGAATTTACTGAGCCTTCCTCATTTCTGAGATCTGGAGCTTGCAGCATAAGGGACGAGGATGGGGAAGAGGGGAATAGCAAAGGTGTAAAAATACACGGAACACTTCACCTATTGGAAAGCGAGAACCCCCCACGACACCCTTTCCAGAGCAATAGTAATAGGAACCCTGGAGGTCTAGTCACCCAGGCAGAGGATAGACAACCTGCTTTGACTCTTAATCAGCAGGAGTATTTAGCCTTTTCTAAATTTAACAATCCCATTAGATAAGGTTCTATCCCCCTTGCCCTCTCCGTTTTTCTCTCCCCATTTTATAGATAGAGAAATAGACATTTGGCTTGAATTTGCATAGTTCTTGAAAATATTCAGAAGTCAAAGTTCTTCACTCTTTGCTCCCTTAATTGTATGAGAAAATTATGGCAACCTTTTGGCTCCAAATGTGTGGTTTATCTTTCCTCAGGCAGCAAAGGGTTCTTTTCAGAATGTTACCAATTTTTATTATTTGATTGACTTAAGGTGCATGGGGAGAAGGAGGGGAGGTGACTCCCCTGAGATGTGGATTTATGAGTCCTATTTGCCAAACCAAGAGACCCTTCTGTATTTAGGGCAACACAGTGATTAGAAGATTTGGGATTCTGCTATTTGTGTTGACTTTGTTCACTGTGTCACACAAAGGTTTGGTTTTGTTTGAAACCATAACTCACTTGGTTTTTGCATCTGTTATATTGAATTGTCATGATTTGGTCAAATATACAAGTTAGCAAATAATTAGCTCTTCCTTTATTCATGGGATCTTGAGATTGCAGATTGGAACAAGGATGATCTGTTTCTTTAAGGAATGTAATGGGGATGGGAAATAGGGGAATAAGAAAGGTAATACAAATAAGCAGCACTCTCCTTGAAGCACTCTCCTTGAAAAAGCAAGTTATTAATGCTCTCTCATAATTGCCTTACGTTATACCTTTTAAGTCATGCCATTCAAAATACACAAAGTTGGTTTGGTTATGGATATTATGATGTGCAGCATATCAGTCTTGGATTCTGGAGCAGTAACGGTGTCTGTAGACATTATAACTGTCTTTGTGTTTCTGTGAAGATTGTCTTGATCTTTGGGACCCTTCAAGGGACCTTCACAGGCCACCTGTGAAGAGCAATAAGAGGCTGAGATTATTAGAGAGTGCAGCTTATTTGCTTTTTTAGGCTGTGGTTTCTTATATACCTGAGCTTCAACATAGTAAAGAACAGCGTTGCCAGTCATTTTTAAGTTATCGATAAGTGGGACATAGGTGCCCATAGATGAGACTGAACACAGATGCATGATGTTTATTATATTCATGTAAAGCATCAAAGTTACTCTGACAGGTGGTGAGATTTGGGGGAGCTGGTATAGTTGAGCTACAGGGTCTTTATGCATGTAAACCCCCTGCTTTTGGTTTTCATCAACAATGAACTAGTTTGAGTGCTATCTTGTATCACTATTTAACAAAATCTTTCTGGCAACTTTGCTGTGAATTCTCATTTCAAACCATCTCAGATCATTTTCTTACTACAAATAAAATCTGACTGTGTCATTCCTTTGTTCACAGATTATCTCTCCTGCATCTAGAAAAGTATTTCCAACTTTGGTTTCATGAGTTTTTTAGAATTCTATGGGAAAAAAGTAGATATTCATATTTTACTGTGGAGCGAGTGCACAGGTTTCCTCAGTGTTTGGAGGATTAAGTGAGTTAATACAAGTAGGTTACCTAGCCAAGTGTTTGGCATGCAGTAAGCACTCAGAAAGTGTGCGCTGTTTTTGAGGGTATTGCTGTTTCTTCACAAAATTAAAAGTACCCAGAGAGGAGTAATGGTTGACTTGCATATATTAGGCACTAAATACAGTAGTCCCCCCTTATCCAAGGTTCTGATTTTCACAATTTCAGTTATTCATGGTCAACCACAGACTGAAACTATTAAATGGAAAAATCCAGAAATAAACAACTTATAAGTTTTAAATAGCATGTCATTCTGGGTATTGATGAAATCTTGAACCTTCCCACTCCTTCCTCCCAGGTCGGGAATTCTCCCTTTGTCCAGAGAATCCCTGCTGTGTAGGCTACCCTTATTTTATTTAATAATGGCTGGCCCCAAAGCACAAGAGAAGTGATGCTGGCAATTTGGATATGTCAAAGAGAAGCTGTAAAGTGATTCCTTTAAGTGAAAAGGTCAAAGTTCTCAAATAAGTAAAAAAAACTCATATGCTGAGGTTGCTAAGATCTATGGGAAGAACAAATCTATCTGAAAATCGTGCAGAAGCCAAAAAGACATCTGTGCTAGTTTTTCTGTCTCACCTTAAACTGCAGAAGTTCTGGTCACCTCTGTGATAAGAATCTAGTTAAGATGAAAAAGGAATTCAGTTAGTGGGTGGAAGACATTAACAGAACCATGTTACCATTAATTGATGACAGTTGTGTTCTGTTCCTGGTTTGAGGCCTCCCCGTGGGTCTTGGAGTGCAGCCCCTAGTTAAGTGGGGGCTACTGTAAAAGGTTTTTTTTGAATTAAATTGATACTGCATTTATACCCCAGACCACTTTCTCCCCATGCTCTCTTTCTATATGTCTGCTATTGACGGTTTCTTTGCATTTCTTATTTCACTCACTGTTCATATCTCTTCACAGACAGTGATTCTGTTTTCCTCTGAACCTCAGCCTTCCTAGTCTGAGATTGGGGTTCTTTGTGTTCCAGTGTTTGTCCTTTTTTTCTTCACCCTCTTTTTCATCCTCTTCCCCTATGACTTTGCAATTAAGACTGAAATGTACAACATGAGGACCAAGGTTATTAAAATTGTTAGGGATTTTTGTTAAATAAGTAGATTTTTAGCTGTGCTTGTCACAAAAAAAGTAGCTATGAGATAACATGTTAATCTACGTCACTAAAGTAACCATTTTACTATCTATATGTGTCCCATATATAGATCATGCTGTAGACCTCAAATATATACAATAAAACTTCTTTTTAAAAGTGGAGTTGCATCAGAAAAAGTTTTGTTTGATCTATGTTATTTCACTCGTTTTAAGAAGTTATTCTCTTAACCTTTCTCCATTTTCAGCCTCATTTGTTGACTCTTCTTTGCAACAAAAATCTTCCAAGGAGTTAGCTAGCCTTCATGTCCCATTCCTGTTTTTTCTGGTGCTTTCTCCAGCATGGTGTTGCTGCTACACTGCCCCAAGATGCTCTGGGGTCACCAGTGGTCTCTGCAAATTGATTCCTCTTATTCCTTGTCATACTGACCTTTCAGTAACCTTGGACACAGTTGATTTTTTCCTTCTCCATGATGTAGTTTCTTTTCTTGGTTTTCAGTACATCACACTTTCTTGGTTCTGCTTATGCCTGTTTGCTCTTCTCAGTCTCCTTTGTTGGATCCTTCTGTTCTTGATCCTTTATTGTTAAGGTACTCCAAGTTTCAATCTTTGGTTCTTCTCTTTTCCTTTCCATACTACCTTAAAAAAATTTTTTTTTTCAAAGAAACTTTATTAGAGAAATAAGGGAGAAAAGAAAGAGTGACAAGCCAGAGCTGGCATGGGTGACAGAAACTGCCTCCTTTTGATGAGACTAAGTTTTATGACTTTAAGTACCATCTCTATACCAAAGACTTACACATTCCTATTCCTGATTCCGTCTCTTTCTGAAGTTCAGACTTACATATGCAGTTGTCTACCTCTTCATCTCCAATTGTATACTTAAAAGACATCTTGTACTCAGATGTTCCAAACTGAACTCTTTCCCCCCCAAACTTGTCCTTTTCCTTCTTAGTTGATGGCAACTCCATATAGCCAGTTGCTCAGTTAAATCTTTGGAGTCATCCTTGACTCCTTCCTTTTTCTTATTTTCCATCAAATCTATCAACAAATCCTGTTGGCTCTCTATCAAATACCAGGGGAACTGCCCAAAAACCTGCAATTACCTTTTTTTGGAGGTCAGACCCTTGTAGTACAGGCTTCCCCAGCTAGGTAAGCCTCTAGGAACCCGTTGGCATTGGTGTACCAGCTACCATTGTGTGAAATTTTTTTGGAGATTCTTTCAATGCATTTGCCCATTTCATGATGGATGATTTATGAGCGCACCTGCCCACACAGTGCTGAGTGTTCAGCAGTTTTTGACCAAAATGGCATGATCTCTGTACCCCATTGACTCTATTCACCCAACCTCGCCCCTAGTGATTTATTTTTGTTTCCCTTGATGAAAAAAGTCCTTAAAGGGAAATGTTTTGTCAATGTGAAAGAAATGAAACAAAAAAATCAGAATCACTAAA